TCCTTAAGATAAATGAGATGTATGCCACCTTGCAGGAGGAACTGAAGGTAAGCTGGGCATGCCTGCCTCACCTTCAGCAGTTCTACAAAACCAAGGCAGCCAAAAGCTACATCATGCACTGCATGAGAAAACACAGCCATGTCCAAAACATGGACAAACTGGAAGATCAGCATGTTCCATTTACTGTGCTGCACACTATATTCTCAAAGCTGAGGATTTAAATTCCCATTTGATGAAAGTACAATGTTTAATCTTCAAGTCCATGAATAAATTCTGACAAGAGGATTATTTTGAAGGAGTAGTATTGTCTAGTTAAAGGACTTTTGGATTGGGTTCTTTTTCCCTTTGAACTGAAGATTGATGAGAGGGAGGCTTGTTTTCTCTCGTTTGGTCTCAGTTGTTTATTTTTTCTTATCAGCATTACAAGGTACAAGGAGCTATGTGCACTATGATAGTAAAGGGGTAAAACGGCTAACAAAGATCTTCTTCAAGGTCTTTTATATGTCCATTTACCCAATTAACAGGTGCCAACTAAGTTATTTTTCTTAGTGACCCAATGACCCAACACCTGTGCGCTGCACTGCGGCATTTTCTACCCAATCACCTACTACTACCCAAAAACCCCTAGGAGAAGAACATGAAGAAAGAAGAAGGACAAGAGACAACACCCTAAATCCTCCATCTTGTCTCTTGTTCTCTAAACTACTTTTTCACCCAGTGATTTAAAAAACTTTCTAATCTACACACTTACACTTTTCCTATCTAACTTTAGCATTTGTTTTCATGTATCACCATGAAAACATGCAAATGAATTTCATATTATATGAAATTCAGTGTTTCTTTGAATTCTATAACTAAATATTAGAAACAAGGGCACACAATCTGTATCTCAGACTCCAACATAGTATCTGTAGTTTATTAGATCTCCTTTGCCTAGATGGGATCAAATAAAACATCTTGCACCTTCTTCAAACCAAGGTTTAAGTTATCTGACAAATCCACCTCCAAATCATTACTTAAGCTTTTTACTACTTTGTGTCCAACTTTACCATGAGTACCTTTAAGGATTTTGCAACAATTTTAAAGTCAGCTGCTGTGAATACTGATAATCTGATCAACGTGCTCTTCTTCTTGCAGAAAATATGCATTACAGTAGAAGTCAGTGAACGATCTGTAGAGAAACTTTTAACAGAAGTGAGCCAATTAAAAGAAGAAATAAAGAGGAAAAAGCAACAAAATTGTTCGGGTAAGTTAACCAAATGTGATTCAAGCCTTGCCCTTCCAAAGTTGGCTCAAGTGACAGAAGCACAAAACACTTCTGAACCCGAGGCAGCCAAAACAGCAGTGGTGCAAGTGGTTCTGCAACTCTGTTTTTTTCCCTCAGGAGAAGACGAAAACCACCCAGTAGAGCCAAAGGAGAATGTTCTCCTTTGTCAGGCACTGCAAACATTTTTCCCCAATTCTGGACTTCAGACATGCATTGTTTCCTTCAAAGGCCGACAGATATCCAAGAACTGCTGTAACATAGACCACCATATTAATGTCATGGACAAACTGACTCTCATGGTAGAGGAAACAGACTTCACTGAAGCTGAAACAAGGCATCTAAACAAGCGTAAACTCAGGGGGACCACAACAGTTTCGAAGTCATTCAAAAAATCCAGATCATTGCAGCTTCACCAAGAATCATTTCAAGATCAAGAGGACAGTGACCAGGAAAGGAAGCTTACACTGAGTAGCACTGAAACAGATGAGGATGTGTTTGAAAAAAACAGAGATGCAAATGAATACCCACACTCTCCTACTTTCTGATCTGTCAGATGACTTTGCAAAAGCTACTGCCAGTATATTCCAGTGATGTATCAATCTACTGCACTGCACAGATATATGTAACAGGGCATTTTTGCAGGTTGGTTTTTTTTCCCCCAGTGCATTAATTCTGTTCGGCATAAAGATAAGTCCAAGATGACATTCCCTCACTTTGCCTTCCAGAGTTCCATCTGTCTTCTCTCTCTCAGGGTTCAAAGACTATGCTACAGGATACCATGAGTCAGATAGGCATGTCACATACTGCTTCAAAGTGATACAGCTTCAAGCTGCTGGTGAAGAAGCAGTGCTACTTTCCTGATGCAGGGAGCATCAAATGAACACTTAACAGAATCAGCTATCTACATGAACTGCCATAGTTTAAGTACATTACTTTATCCTCAGGAAACCAGTACTTGTTTACTTCTTCTCATCTTACAACCCAGCAAGGGAAAAAACAGCCACATGAGCTTTAGCAACACTGGTGAGCAGAGGAAGGGGTCCATACAGCTGCCAGTTTCTAATACTGCTTTAATCTTCCTTCAGACAATAACTTCCAGAAACTTCCTGAAGAAAAATAAGAGAATGACTGACATCCACCCCTCCATCAACCACACATTATGTTAGCAAACCACATTTCCAGCAAACAAGTATATAAAGATGAAACACAGTTTTATTGTTTATTTCTGTACAGTATATCACTCTGGATGTTTGATATTACATAGCTTGGGGTCTGTGAGAAATTGTGGGTTCTTAAACATAATAGGCATAAATCCTGTTAAAAAAAAAAAAAAAAAAGGTGTTCTTAGTAGAAAAGTAGCCTTGAGCTGGAAAACTCAAAAGCAAAATCATACTTACCAAATACATGAGCTCTTTTAATGGCCTTCGTAATTTCCTTCTGCTTCTTATTACACAAGCCTAAAGAGATTAATTAAGTTTCAACACTAAGCAAGCCATTGGAAGGTGAAAGGCATGGTACTGACAATTCGCTCTAGCTTTGATTAAGTCCTTCTAGAAAAATACACGTGTGCTTTTACTGTTAAATACAAAATGCATACAATTAATGGATATTTTAATTCCTTGACACAGGCTACTAAGTCAGGGAAATACTATTACAAAATAGTTGAGACTGGTTACTTCCAGAAAGACTGCTGATACACAGTTACTTAGACTCACAAAAACATTATTATTAACCCATATATGATTTAATTTCATACTTTACATACCTGTGATATGCCTGCCATAAATGGAGCCAGTATATGGAGAAACAAACTGGGAAAGAAGCTACTTAAAATTAAGAAAAATCAAAGTCAGTTTAAGAACTTTTTTTTTGAGCTTTATGTTATGTTACTACTTGCACTCTATTTTTCATTTTTTTCATCTGTTTTTTCTGCCTGAAAAAAAAAAGTACAGCTTGGAGCTAGGCAGTATTTGCTATGGAAAAACTTCCATGCTTTGTGTCAGCTGAATTGTAACCAAGGACTCTATTTGTTAAAAAGCAAAGCTGTCACACATAATTAGTAGATTAAGCATCTTAGCATGACTGCATCATTTGACCCTTAACCTGCATATATTCTTACTCTTAAGTTTTAAGCCCCTACACATATGAATAGAGTTTTTTAATCATTATTTTTTTAATCACTGGACTTCCTACAGATACATTTAAAAACAGTAAAGCAGTTACTTTATCTAAGGATAATTTTCAAACTCACCTGCACATTCTTATAGTCCACATATATTCCACATAAGACACATCTCTTTGGAGGGTCTTTATAGGGGTTCTCCATGTGTATGGGCTGAAATCAGAAAATTATTAACAGCTGTAAGCTTCACAAGAAAATAGAGAACATTTGTTACTTTTAATCCTTTGATCAGTATTTGTCTTAAAACCAGAAGAGCTATTTAGTGCACCACTGAAGTTTTTAAATAACTTTATTAACTCACTTCTTCGTACCTTGCAACCTAAAAGACTTCTCACAGGTAAACAGCCTTTTATATTTTAGTAACAATGACACTAGCAATTCTGTTAAATCATTCAGTAAGATATTGCTTACACCTTCTACTTGGAAATCAAAATCTACAGAAGCTGGCAGAAAAGTAATTTTGTCTGATAAGTCACAAGAATTATTTTTATTTTTTTTTAATAATAATTTCAAAGCAAATGGCCTGGGGAAGCACCTGCGTGCTCACACTTTCTAAAGAGAGAGATTCAGAAATACCTCCTAAGGACTGAAAGCCTCCTCAAGCTTCAGAATACACCCAGCACCAAGTTGTTACAAGATGCGAAAGGTGATTTTTCACTTTCACAGTCACAGAACAGTCAGGGTTGGAAGGGACCTTTGGACATCAGCCAGTCCAACCCCCTGGAGCAGGTGACAAAGGAACGTGCCCAGGTGGGGTTAGAATGTCTCCAGCAAGGAAACTTCACGACCTCCACGGGCAGCCTGTTCCAGTGCTCTGCCACCCTCAGTGTAAAGAAGTTTTTCCCCATGCTGAGGTGAAAGCTCTTGCGTTTTTAGTTTATGGCCACTGGTCCTTGTCCTGTCGCTGACTCCACATCCCAGTTACTAAGACAGCAGGTTTAACAGGCTTTAGTTAAGATACTGGAATACAGATCCGCAGGGCCTTAAATTCCAGTGCCTGATGACCTCTCTCTGCGCTGCGCTCCCCAAACGGATTCGGGGTCTGAGGAGCCCGAGCTACACAGCGCCCAGAGCAAAGCGACTCCAGCCATCGCTAGTGCCTTGCGGAGAGGGAGCAGCGGGACAGCGGGGCGGGGCAGGTCGGAGAAGCCTCACCTGGTCGGAGCGCTCAGGCTGTCCCTCATGCTGCAGGCGGCGCGGCCGCGCCCACAGCGCGGCTGCAAGGGAGAGAGTGACAGGGTTAGCGGCGGCACGGCTCGACATCCCAGACACGCGAACGCCCCCGCAGCCACTTGCGACAGAGGGGGAGCGGACAAGCGGGAGGGACATACCGGGAACCAGGCGCTGCCAAGGCCTCCGCGCCGCCACGGCCCGCGCCGCCATGCCACCGCGCACCGCCACTTCCGCTCTGGCGTCACTGCCGCCGGCCGCCTGCTGGCCAATAGCAGAGCTGCGTTTCCGACTGAGGGCGGGCGATTGGCCAAGATCCGGTCACGTGCTTCCCCATTGGGTTGGTGCCGGAAGTTCCCGCTCCCGCCGTGGCGGCTTCTCCCTGTGTCCCTCCGCGGCCGTGAGGGCCCCGCGCCGCCTCCGCGCAGCCCGGCCATGGCGGAGCCCAAGCTCGCCGTGCGGAGGAGGAACCGCTCCATCTCGGAGCGCAAGCGGAGCCGGGCCCCGGCGCAGCCCATCGCTGCCAGCTCGCCGGTGGCTTGCAAGAGACCGAGCGCTGGTGGCGAGGGACCCCCGGCGGAGGCCCCGGTAGGGGATGGCGGGATCCTGGGGCTGGTGGTGAGGCGGGGAAGCTCCGTCTGGGAGGGTGGAGTGTGTCGGGAAGGGCTGTACTTTGTATGAGGGGGTATGATGCCGTTTGGTTTTAGCTTTAAAAAAAATCATCTCTGTCTTCTCTCTGCGCGCGTATTCTCCTACTTGTTGGATATCTGTTTCACTCAGTCGAGGCATTCCTTCAGAACCCAAGCTGGGTTTTCCTTACAGGCGACAGCAGACAAAATGCTTTTGTGTCAAGTTGGGACAGACTTAGGTGAATCGGCTCTGATATTTGTGCTCTGCAAGTTATTCTGCATTCTGTGGTGTTGCCTCAGGGGGTTGATAACTTCTCTTTCGTTTTTGCAGTGCAGTCATGATAGCGAGGAGGATATGTTTGGTGATTATGACAGCTTTTATGGAAACGATTCATTGATGGCTCAAGTGGATGATATTGAAGACAAATACCTGCATGATAAAAATATGGATGTGAAAGCAGATGGAGAGATCATACTTGGGAACCTGCAGTCAGGAGTTCACCAGAAAGAGCAAGATAACTTTTCTGCTTCAGAAAATGTGGTTGTCCTTAAAAGTGACAAAGAGGGTGCTTGCCAAATGTGTGACAATAACCCAGCTGATGGCAATCAAGAATTAACTGAGTCTGTTTTAGATGACTTGCCATCATCACAACTTGTGTATTTTGAAAAAATGAATGAACTTTCTTCTGCTTCTAGAGCATCTCCAGTCTCAAAAGGGAGGGATGAACATGTGAATTCGTTCTCAGACAAAATTAGGGACCCATTGTCTTTTTATGCTGGTGCTGAACACAGGAACAGACCTACTGACTCTTCCTCACGCTCCAAGTGTGTTTTATTTAAAACTGAGAGTCTCAAAGATCACCTGAAAAGTGCTATGACTGGAAATGCTAGAGCCCAGACTCTGCAGGTCTCCAAGTCCAAGCAGCTCAAAGAAGCTGTTTTATCTGAAGAGATTTTCGTGGCTAGGAAAGCTATTGAATCTTCTTCTGTTGATATAGGCCCTTTTTACGGATTATCTAGCAAGATTAAAGATTTATTCAGACAACTTCGAGGGATTGAAACACTTTATGGTAGTGTAACTAATGGTCTCTTGGGAAAAAAAAAAATAACTGCTAGTGGAGTGTTGTCTGTTTCACTCATTGTACTGTAAAAATATTTAAGGTAATGCTTAATGTAAACCATGTTAGAACGTAGTTGTCCTGTTTTAGGAAGTGGCTATCTTGGTGTTTTAGATGGATAGAAAGAGTAGATGGTATCCATCTGGATTACAGAAGACTTTGGAAGTCACCATCACTGAAAGCTTTAAGTGCTTTTTTGAGGAAAAGCTCTCAAACACTGAGATCAAAGTGTTCTGAATGAAACACAGGCATTTTGGTATCGACTGACATGTCCCTGGGGTTGCTGATAGTTCCCTTGTTGTTTTGCAGAGTGGCAGCATGACTGCTTAATGTTAGAATCCCTACAGCAAAGGAAGAACTTGATATACTCATTGCCAACCAGTGGTGGAAAAACTCTTGTAGCTGAAATAATAATTCTCCAAGAATTACTCTGCAGGCAGAAGGATGTTCTGATGATCCTGCCATATGTTGCCATTGTCCAAGAAAAGGTCTGGTTGCAGTATTTCTGGTACTGCTTTAATTTTTTATAAATCTTTCCTGATACACTTTGTTTACTTCCTCACTTGCCTGGTTTTCACCAAGGTTTTTGTGAATATGTGGTGGGAAGTGAGTGACCTCTCTGAAATGCTGCTCTGAGGGTCAGTATTTTGCAGTGGAGCAGACGCAAATCATGAGGTAAAGATGTTGAGTTACGAAGTAAAGGGTGCTGAATTTTGAAACAATGCCTTTTTGGGATGTTTAGTTCTGCAGCGTAAGAGCTGTGACACTCAACTTGCTGAAGAGGTGGTCTTGAACTAAAAACCAACATTTTTTGTTATAAAGGGAAAGCTAGTTTTAGAGAACAGATGAAATAAAACTTCATAATATGTGCAGACACTTCAGTTCTGTAGCTGGAATAGATATTCCGAGCTAATATGTTTTCACTAACTCAAGCAGCCAATTGTGACATGGGTCGGTTTTCTGTATGTTGAGTTCTTGAGGCAGCTCCAAAAAATGGAAAATTAAATCCAAAATGAGCATGAATTTGTTCTCTAATTGATTCTCTTTTATAGGTTAGGGGTTTATCGAGTTTTGGGATAGAATTGGGTTTCCTGGTTGAAGAATATGCTGGAAGTAAAGGACGATTTCCACCAATCAAAAGGAGAGTTAAAAAATCTCTTTATATTGCTACTATAGAAAAAGGACACGCTCTGGTGAACTCCTTAATCGAAACAGAAAGAATCAATGACCTTGGCCTGGTTGTGGTAGATGAGGTAGGCCACAAGATGTATTCAGATTTATCAGATGCAAGTTCTTTTAGGGCTCTAATAAGCAATTATTTAGGAAGGAGCAGTTCTTTGCCTGCTTGGTTTTGCTCAGAGTGTTCATCCTGAAAATTACTTTTATTTTCTATGTTCTGAATTGCACATAATTGTACGTAATTCTGTAATTCTAAAAGTTTGGGTTTTTTTTTTAATGAAGCATTGCTGTTTTAGAGTAATAGATTTATATTGAGAGATCTGTGGTGGTAGTGGTTGATGGTGAATTCCTGCATACCTACTTGACATTTAGAAGTATCTAATGGATTGCAAAAAAGCATAAATAATTTTAATTGTATGGAATGTACTTTATGAAGCCTAGAATTTAAGGCTTAGATGTGAAACCATGCAACTTTGTGTCTGGTATTAATGATCCAGTGAAACATTGACAAAAAAGAAAAACATCAAGTAACATTTGGCTGTGAAAATTGCCTCTTACAGTGGTAGAGCTGAGTTGTGTTATCAAGGGTTGATTGTGGAGTTGAATAATGTGTATAACATCTAAGAGGGATTTTAATTCATGGAATTCTTCAGGCTGACTGACCATACTTTAGCGCTGTAGCTTCTAAACAGAGGGCAGCTGAAGCACTAACTTCTGTTTTTTCTGGAAGCTGGCTGCTAGGAATGTTGTTACTCTGAGTGTTGCTTAAACCACATTTTGTTTAAGATTGCCTCAGACTGGTGAATACAAAGATCCCCACAGTGATTGTTTACTGTCAGGAGTTAACTGTTTGTGTCAGTTGTGGTCTAGTTAAATGGAAGGTAAATCTTGTTGTCTGCATTTACCCATGAGTTTGTTTTTCTGTGATTCATAGATTTTAAATGAGGTTATACATCCAAAACAATCCAAATTTACTCAAGAGATATCATGAGGAAGTCCAACGAAGTCAGTTCTGTAGTATTTCTTTAGGTCTATATATTTTGGAGGTTTTTTTAGAATAACTCTCAACTCAGTAGCATTCTTGCCTTTTCTTTTTCCCTTCTGTGCACAGCTGCATATGCTTGGGGAGGGAAGTCGTGGAGCAATACTGGAAATTACTCTCGCAAAAGTTCTTCACACCAGCAGTAAGTCATGGCTACAGTTAATGTCATTAACGTTTTGTAGTTGTGGCCTCTCTGAGAGGTCACACCATCACTTTCTGGATTTGTGCTATTTTGGCTGCTTTTGAAAAACATGGCATGAATCCATGTATTAACAGCATTTACTCATTTAAGTGTTAATTGACTTTGTAATGATGTTAGGGTGTTTTTGAAGCTCTTTTGATACTTTGTGAAATCCTGAGTATTGTCAAATGTCTTCCATTTCTTCATAGGAGTCCTTTAGGCATCCACAATGCTTCTTTTTTCACATTTAAGTCTCAGTATTTTGTAACTTAGTATTATTTCATAGTTAGTGTTTCTTTAGTAGCATCCTTTCCCTTCAAATCTGCTACTTTGGCATTTTGAAAAGACTAAGGATGACGGAGGAGTCTCGTGACTTTAATACTGAACAGATGTCTTAAAAATTGGTCATGTGACAATAAATTCATCTCAACTTCTGTTTTACAGAAAAGACACAAATCATTGGCATGAGTGCAACATTAAATAATGTTGGAGACCTACAGAAGTTCCTGCAAGCAGAGTACTACACTAATAACTTTAGACCGGTCTGTATACAAGATACAGGAGCTAGTAAAGAGGATATTTGCCTTTAAAATCATAATGTATCACAGATTTTGTGCTTAACTGCACAGTATAATATAAGGCCTGCTATTGCTCTCTAATTATTAACAATACAACGAATAGCACTATGCACTTCTAAATACACAAATGCAATAACCTTTATACTGCTGTGCTAATGCATTTGTTTCATTTTAACTTAAGCAATTCCTAAATTACAGCTACTGTGATGAATCATTGCAGTCCATTTGGTGTAACTAGAATCTGTACTGCTGGCTCTTGTATGCTGTCAGGACAGCATGGTTTATAAATAGCTCATGGGATACAATTTTGGCATTCTTCATTATGGTTCCATGCTTTATCAAGGCAAATAATTAAAACAATTAAGTTCTCTTAAAAATTCTAAAGCGTCTGCCTATGTGCAAGTATGTATATGACATGTGATGCTTAGAGAAAAGCTGTACATCGTCAACAGCTTAGAGAAAACAGAGTCATTTAACAAAGTTTCTCTTTGTGGCTTCCATCTTGCTAGGTAGAATTAAAGGAATACATAAAGATAGGAGACACCATTTATGCAGTTGACAGCAAAGCAGAAGATGGCTTTGCTTTTTCACGGCTCCTTAATTTCAAGGTAAAAACATGCCTGTAGTTTCTTTGAACTGTTGTGAAATGCATTATTTTACAGTGATTTTCTTACAGACTTTTTACTAGAGAAATTACTTAAACATGATAATTCATTTGTAGTACCCATGACAAAGAAGTGGTAGGCTTTGGGAAGGAAAAAAGCCTTAAAATACTGAATGCTTAACTTGATTTTCACTTCTTTTTTACTTCTCATGGTAGAAGTTTTTTCAGTATTTTGACATGTGAAGAGTAATGTGTTTGAGTATTCCAGACACTCAGCATCTTATGTTTGGAGGTAGATTTTCTCAGCAGTTGATCACTCTTAGGCAAAACTGAAAGAAGATACCCTTTGGGGGTTTTGCCAGCTTACTACTGCCCTGTAGGGATTCATTTCAACCTTTACAAAGGAAAATGAGTGTAATGGTAGACTGCCAGTATCACAAGTGTTGCTAAAAGAAAATGAACTATTAAGGGAAAAAGCAAAGAATTTGATTTGTATATCCATATATCCCTCAAGTTAGATGTCTTTCAAGTGAGGGTTGGGGGAAAAGCTTACCCTACAACTTCTCAGAATTATGTCACATTAAATCAAATGGGAGTATTCAAGCAACAGCTGAGAATGAATATTGAATATTTAAGTTATGACTTAATTCCTGAGTTTAAATATTAGTTAATCTGTGTTTGTTACAGTATTCTAGTAATCTGGAGAAAGCAGATCCTGACCACATCATTGCACTGGTTACTGAAGTTATTCCTAAATATTCCTGCCTAATCTTTTGTTCCACTAAAAAGAGTTGTGAAAATGTAGCTTCAATGGTGTGCAAGTACCTCAAGAAGTAAGTTTCTGTCTTTTTTTTTAATTATACATGAAATAATTGCTTACAACTTAGTATTTATTGTCATCTAGTTTGCAAGTGTCTTTCCCTGGTGATTAGTAGTAAATGCTTTGAACATGGAATCATATGAAGTTGCTAACTGCATAAGTGATAGCAAACTGCAAAAGGCTTATTAAATAAAAACTTTTTTTAAAGTTCTTACTTTTATACCAAAACAGTTGAAGAAGATGATTGTCAGAGGAAAATACTAAAGAAAAGAAAGAAAAGCGTACTAAATTAATCTTTGTGTCCCTTTGGCACTGGTTTCTGGAAGCTTTGAAAACAAATGTTTTTCTCTATGTCTTGGTATTTGGTCATGTGCTTTGGTAGTCATTGGAATATCTCTGTTCCATACCCACCTTGGAAATCTGAGTTGTAAAGTGTAAAGCAGCCAGTATTTGATCCCTTCTGTTCCTGTTTGCAAATAAGGAAGGTTCTATTGGAATTAAATCAGCCTCCTGTGTATTGCTGTTTCAAAGTTTCTAAAAATAACTATTTCTCCAACTCACATGTTAGAGGAATGGATGATGAACAGAAGTAGACAGTAAGCCTGTCTCTTGGTTTTGATTTTCTTTTTAATTAATGATTGGTCAATGTCTAAAGAAATGCTTTTCCTCCTCCAAGAGAATTTAGAGCTCACAGGGAGAAAGAAAAAGAAGATCTCATCAAGAGCCTGAAGAGTGTTGGAAATGGAACTGTCTGTCCTGTTTTGAAGCAAACAATCCCTTTTGGTATTGCCTATCACCATAGTGGCCTTACAAATGATGAAAGAAAAAGCATAGAGGAAGCTTATTCTTCAGGTGTCCTGTGTCTGCTTGCTTGCACAGCCACTCTAGCTGCTGGAGTCAACCTGCCAGCTAGAAGGTTAGTAGCCAAAACTTAATTTTTTTTCACTGATTTCTTGCTTTGTAAAAAAAAAAAAAAAAATCTTAAATAAGTTGGAAATCTCAGTGCTATTTAAAGTGCTTGTGCTTTTACCATCAGATTGGAAGGACCGGGGATTTTGTGTTCAACTTGGGATACAAGACTGTGCAGTATTTATGTAGGAAGTGTGAATCAGTAGGAAATAACTCAGAGTATATCACTGAAGAACACTTACCTAAATGGATTAAATAAGTTTCAATAAATTGAAAAATGCTTTAGTGTTTTTAGTAGTGTTATTCAAGAGGACAGTGGTTGGGAAGATACTCTCCTAAGAACAGTGTTTAAATGGTAAAATAAGCTTTTTCTAAGGAGTTACAGTTGGTATATGTTTTAACACAAAAATTTATTATATTTTCATATACAAGTTCTGATGATAGGGCTGCTGTACTCTGTGTGGCCAAAGATTGTTTGCTAAGAATCCACTTCTGTGTGCAGATCTAATACACCATGAATAGTTTGATGCTTTACAATTGATTTACACATCTGTCCAAAAAGGTGCATTTGATTTTTATTAGTTATGAGGTAAGGGGCACATATAAAGAATTAACTTGAATTTGTAACATTTTATTGCTGCTTTAGTAATTTGAATATAAAGTAAAACTTATTCAAGACTTCTCTGCAGGGTGATTCTCAGAGCTCCTTATGTTGGCAATGACTTCTTGAAGAAGAACCAGTATAAACAAATGATTGGCAGAGCTGGTCGAGCTGGTATTGACAGTGCTGGAGAAAGTATTCTCATAGTGCAAGAAAAAGACAAGCACTTGGTAATTTTTACAAAGCTATCAGTAATTTAAATTGCTGGGTTAAGATGGTGGAATAAACAGGAGGAGCCAAGCTGCCTAGGTTAATTTTTGTTTACCTCTTAAAGTTGTAAGTATTTTACTTATGTAATAATAGCTTTAAACTACCTTTATGTGGCTCGTTTTCAGATGGGAACTGTAAACTTTCAGTGCTTATCCTCATTTTCTTTATAATCTGAATCACGGATATCAGGTTTGATTTTTTAAAGTGTAAAATTAATGCATGAATATTCCTCTGTACTGATATATTCCTTGCCCCTTTTAGGTTCAGGATTTAGTTCACAGTCCTTTGGAGAATTGCTGCAGCAACCTTCTGCTGGAGTTGACCAAGGGAATGCAGAGCCTGTTACTATCTTTGGTTGGACTGAAGGTATCAGTTACCTCTTCTATGTGAGTAACTTAAGTGCTTGGAAATGCCAAGAAAATGTCTCCTGTTGATTCTGTAGAAAAAGACAGACTGCTTAAAGACTCAGTCTTGCGAAGTTCAGAACAGCTTTAATCAATTTTTTTGTCCTTATCTGATTAGATCTTTTCATTTAACTCATTTAGTAAGTAATCATGTAACACAACAATTACCTTATGTGGAAAAACAAAAATTATATCTACCCTATAATACAATAGAATAGAACAAAATATATTTCTGATACTTGTTTCAAAATACAAATAGAAACAGTGGAAACAAGTTAATATACAGTAGCTAGAATAATAGAACAGATGGAGAGCAGTCCATCACATCCACCACCAAGCAGCTATCATTCTAATTGTTGGGATGTATTTCTATAGAAACACAAACACTTTATTCAGTAATTTCTATCTATGTCTTATTAACCATGTGAAATTATAACTTTAAATATGCTAATTAATTTCCAATCTGGTGCAGATAGCAGTTACCCATGAGGAAATAGACAATTTTATGCTCTGTACATTGCTGGGTGTTCAGCAGCAGCTGCTGTCTAAAGAGAAGAGCCTCTCAGAGATAATTAAAGATGGGCTGGAAAATCTAATAGAAAAAGGACTCCTAAAAGGAAGAATATCTGAGAAGGACTACAATTCCAAATCTACACTGACAATCACACCCTTGGGTAAAGCTACATATAAGGGTAAGGCATTTTCTAGTCTTATAATTAAGCTGCAATGAAAAATAAGTTGTAGAGAAAGAGTTTTACTACATGATGTAGTGGACTGAAATGGGAGTGAAGTAGCTTATCATTTAGTAGCTTATCACATTCATGACTGAATATGATGGGAATGAAGTGTGATAATATTGATCCCACTGGGAACAAAACCATAAATGTACCCCTAAAAAGCCACTTCAAGGTTTGATTTAGTGGTTGTAATCAAAGTGGCTCAGGACCTTGTTTTACAATTAATTGTTATTAACAGGTTATTGTAAACAGAAGGATTTCTTGGAAAGCTTAAGAGGGAAAGGGAGGATATGACGTGTAGACCAATTGTAATTAAAAAAAAAATATCAGGAAGTTCTGTTTTCCTGTCATATCATAAAGATTTTGGGGTATGGAATGTAATTGAAGTAGGATGAGTCTGAAGGGTTCCTTCAATCTATATTATTGCAGGATTTCAGTAAAGCCAAGGCATTTCACAAGCACTCCAAAACCACACACAACGAACATACATGGAAATAGGTGACTGCCTCTCCTCAGCTTTGCTTCACTCCTCATGTTATGTTAGAACAGTTACTCAGGTTACAGATATTTCTCTTCTGTTCAGATGATGTAACAAGCTTTTGTGGAAGGTAAAGACAATACCGATTCCATGTTAAAATGTATTTCATTTAACTCTGCATGCCTGTTTATAATTGTGCTTATTCTTACCCTGTGTGCTTATTCTCTAGGCTCAATAGACTTGGCATACTGCAATCTTCTGTACAGAGACTTGAAGAAGGGTTTGGAAGGGCTGGTTCTCGAGAGCAATCTTCATCTCCTGTATCTGTCAACTCCCTATGATATGACTTCTACCTGTAGCCCAGATTGGATGATATACTTGAGACAGGTGAGAAATTGCTAGAAAATATGCATTGGGGCATTCAGTAATCCTGTGTATTAAATTTGGAGGGGGTTTGTACACATTGGACATAAAGTGGGGTAACAGTCTGATGGCAAATATGCTAATTTATTTTTACTGGGGGAACACTAAAATCTATTTAATTCTGTTAAAATGAGGCATTCAGAAATGGACATTTACAGGTAATTCAAACAAGGAGGGGAAGAACCTTCAGAGCTGGCTGTGACTGGTGACTGTAGTATTACTCTAGTGATTCTGTAGAGATACTGAAAAACATTGTTGCACTGTAAATGATACACTTGTGTTTTCTATAATATTAACAGAACTAAATATCTGAAAATTCTTTATATTTATTTTAGTTCAACCAGCTAAGTGCAGCAGAGCAAAAAGTAGCAGATATTGTGGGAGTACCTGAAAGCTTTATTACAAAAAAGGCTTCTGGTCAAGCCATCAGAAAGGTAGGTTGGAGATTTCTCATACCTAAGATGACAGTTGAGTCATTTCATTTGACTGTTTACAAATTCCAGATTATTTTTCTGCTAGTGTTGTTTATTGCTGTTCTGATTATTAAAGTTCTTTTAATCTCATTGGTTTTTATGTTTTAATGTCTTTGTGTTTAATATAGAAATGTTTTAAAGCTCTGAAGGGAGTAGCTATGAAAAGATTTGCCTTGTAGTACCAACAGAACATCTGCAATGTGATACTGGCTCTGAATTCTAGCTTGTCTCATTCCTAGAATGTGGACAATGCCGTGGTGAACAGGTTCTACCTGACGTTTGTCCTTTATACCCTACTGAAAGAGACCAATATATGGAGTGTTTCAGAGAAATTTAATATGTCCCGGGGATATGTGCAAAATCTCCTCAATTCTGCTGCCTCCTTCGCATCCTGCCTTCTACGTTTCTGTGAGGTACTGTGTTAAAAGAATGTAAATAAATTCTTTGTGGCTTAGTTTTGCAAAATACAGAGTTTTTTTCTCTTACTTTAGAGCTGAATTACAGGTGTGGTATTTCATCTTTCCTGTGCAAAAATGTTTCTTCACATTTCCTGTTCTATGTTATTTTTTCTATTGAGCAAAGAATGTTCATACAATGACATTTCTGATAGTAAAAGCAAGCTTTATACGCTGAGAATGTGAAAATATACAAATTTTACAGGGCATTGATCACTGCCAGTGCTGTTGGTGAAATAATTGAAATGATGCATTGCTTATCTTTCAGAATTGTCCCAGCTTTGGGATGTTCAGCTGAAGAGCACTGAATACACTTCTGCAACTCTCTGAAAGGATGACTAGAAATATTAGTGCTTCCCCCATCTAAATGCCAAATGTATGCTTGTTGCCACAGCAGAGTTTTGTCAGTCATGTTTCCCAAATATAGAACTCTGGAGCTGAGTTTTAGCAATCTTTGTCTCTGCAGGAATTGGAAGAATTCTGGGTTTATAAAGCCTTGCTGACAGAACTTACCAAGCGTTTGACATACTGTGTTAAGACAGAACTCATCCCTCTGATGGAGGTAGCAGGGGTTCTAGAGGTCAGTAAACCTGGCTCCTTGAAACTTTTCAATGTTAACTTGTGTGCTAAATGTTACTCTGCCTTTCTAGTGTATCTGGAATACCAAGCTAATTTGTAGCTGGGAATTCAGCATAATTCAGTAGATAATCCACAAAAGTCTGGAGGTTGGGGGAAAAGTGATCTGTTGAGGAAATGGGAGCTGGAGCCAATATTTTTCTTCTGGCTGCTGCCACAACAATTATGAAAATACTGTATTTGGACAATAATTTAGCTGTACACTTGATTGGAAAACAGAGTCCAGGTTTCTTTCATTTGAGGACTCTTCAGTTCATGGGAGTAAAGAGGAATAAGAATTTACATATTTAAGTTAGAAGATCCTTGCAGAAATATGCAAAGTCCTGTTGGGAGCTTTGGCTTTGGCAATCACTTGTGGTTCTGCCTGTATTTTAAATAAGAAATTTAACCAGTCTCTGAATCAAAGACTCCTATTAAAATAAAAGCTCTTTTGGGGCTCTAGACCAAGGTTCTACTCTTTGCAAAATGATTTAACTAGCCTGTCCAGCATATTGTAGAATGAGTTTGTCAGAAAACTATTGAATTTAGTGGCAGTGAGGTTTTAATCTGAGAAGCTAAACAAGACAGACACCTCCAAAGAATGTGGAACTGTCGTTCCTGTCAGTGACAGTGAATGCAGTAAACATGGTAACAAGAGAAGACAGCAGCATTGGTATTATCTAGCTCAGAGAAAATAAAGGCAAATGGGTTCCTAAGAGGTGGGTAGGAATCCAGGTGGTAAATCTTAGTGGTAAAGCTGTGCTTTTGGGCTATAAAGATTCTCAGGGAGTATTCATGTTAGAAAAAGAGAATTGAATTGATTTTCAGAATGAAATGTTTGAGGTTGGTGCAGAGATTGGCACTTACCAGTAATTCTTATTTCCTGTTCTGATAATCTAACACAATTTTGTACTATCAGGCCCGAGCAAAACAGCTTTACAACGCAGGGTACAAAACTTTAGCACACTTGGCTAATGCAAATCCAGAAACCCTGGTGCGGATGATTGAGCACTTGTCACGACGTCAAGCCAAACAAATAGTTTCATCTGCGAAGGTGAGTTAGAAACAAAGCTGTAAAAACCTGCTTCAGGACTCCAATATGTCAAAAGTGGATGTTTGATCATGGAATGATATTAAAAGAGAAGGATTTGGTTTACTAGTAAAGACGTTAGTGGATGTTTGTGATCCAAATGCTGATCTGTACTAAGAACAATCTGTCAGGTCCCAGATAGTGCCAAGTGGTGCTGCTTTTCAGAGGGGAAGCAAAGGGCAAAAATACTTGACAGCTTGTCTGATATTTGAAATGCTCAGTTCTGCCAATATTTCAGGATTTATTTTACAGAAGTTCTAGTGGTAGTTGTGACAAAAGAATAGGTTTTGTAGGCTTGTAGAAATGGAAACCAACAAAGTGCTGGGTTAGCCTCACCTATTTAGGTTGCTTTTGTCATGCCCTTGTTACTCTTTCTTGTCTTTTCCATTTTCAATATGCAGATTCTGTAACAAACACTGACTTGTGTCTAAACAAAAAATACAGGAAGTACTTTATCAAGGGATGGTATTTGGTATTCTCTATGTCCATTCATCATCTGCTGCTGCAATAGTATTGGTTTTATGTTTGATTCTACTAAAAGAGCAAGCTCTTGGTGAAGTAAGGGAATGTCCAGAATAAAAGGATGGGTGGTTGGTGTAAAAATAAGGCAGTCAGTTAGAAAGTTTTGGGTTGCGCATTCTCACAAAGTAAAAATACCAACTTTGGGGGTTGTGCATTTAAAAGGTCATATTCAGATAATGTCGTTGTAGGCTTCTTGCTGCTTTTTTAGTTTGTTGCTGTGGGATCCAAAAGAAAGGGATATATGTAGATGCCTTATCTACGTCAATGACAAATTAGCAATCTACCATACTGTCATGCTCAGATACTAAATTCATGGAGTTTTCTCTAACTGGGAAGTTAGAAGAGTGCTTGCATGGGGTCCTGTTCTTCTCCATGCCAGCAACAAACAGTTCAGGGCAGTGGATTAAACAACTGCTGATATCAGCAGTCCTATGTGTCTGGTGTAAAATGCTGTAGTAAGAAATTTCAAATAAAAGAAGTTGTCAGCTCAGCAGGCACAACTTAAAAATGTTTATTCCAACATGGAAAATAAATGTCTAAGGTTAAAAATGTTCCTTAACAGTTCCAGATGAAACTGTTCATGTTCTGTAAATTTGGTGTATTATGTGATGTCAGAGTCAAGAAAATCATCTGTGTGCTGTATGAATTTTTGTGTGACTGCTTTCTATATGGGTGTACACTAATGGGCAAAAAAATGCTGGTCCTTGGAGGGAAAGTTGCTGTGGTCCTGGGAGCAGGAGCAGAAGTCTTTCACAGACCCAAGTGCAAGTTTGGAAAGAAACTTGGATGTTTTAATCTGTCTAAGAGTTGTAGGTAATGCTTGTATTTGTTTTCTAATTTTTGTTTCTTTTTCTTGTTGTAGATGCTGCTGAGTGAAAAAGCCGAGGCTTTACAGGAAGAAGTCGAAGAACTCTTAAAAGTGCCAACAAATATCCCAGGGACCCACTGATTGTCATGAAGAAACTCATGAATCCAAAATTTGGATATTTTAAAGTTTTTAACTCTCCTGTTTAAAACTGCTGTAATTTAATAAATATTTAATGTCTTTTGTATACCACAATTTAAAGTGAGTTCTGAATTCAGAATGTTTCCTGGAAAGTTGACGTCATTTGAAGGTTTGGATTATGAACTTCTTCAGCAATAGGACAAAAATAATCTTCATTCATCCCTGGTTTTAGACATAGCCCTAGGAGCTCTTTGGGAATTGGACTGACTGCCTCATGTGTACTTCTGCTCGGAGCTTGTGCTTGCAGGATTCTCTGTACTCTAAGTGTAATGGAAGGAGCTGCAATTCATAACAAATTATGTTTGGGTTCTAGACATAACCAGAAATGTTTCTAAATCCAGTGGAGATGTTAGATGTTGAATGCTTGATAGAAAGTAGTTATGGTGAAAAACTGATGAAAATGCTAATATTCTACTGCTTATTTTGTTGTTGCATTAGAGAAATCAGAGGCAGCAATTGAAAAAATTCTTCATGAGCCTTTATTTGGCATAAACATGTCCCTAAACCCATACTTGTGATACTTTGTAGAGGCTTACACAGTTTGGATAAATGCAATATTTGACTGCATTCAGTACGAAACCAGGTCAAGAATTTAAAACCAGCACTTTTTAGAGGCAGTGTGATTCATTTCCACTGGTACACTGAGTGCCCACAGGGGAATCCTGTTACTGATATTTAAGTGCCTAAGGCACAACTGGATTTGGAAATATGAAAAAATTTGACGTTGGTTCTCAAGGGCAGAAGCAGTATTTGCCATGACTTGAGGCTATATGTAAGTCTGTTGCCTAATATTTTTGACCAAATTATAGATAATATTAAATTCTATGTTGGTTTATTTGTTTTACATTGAAAAGGCAGATGATGCTCACTCCAGCATAACTGTGAATACATATCTAAGCAGGTGATGTAGTACCCACATAAGAAAACACAGCTACCTTAAAGGTTTATTGGTACTTGGTGGTGCTTTTCCAAAGTTTGGTACAGTTTTGTGTGGATTTGGCAGGGGGGGAAAGAACCCCAGGAAGTTAATGTTAAATTATTCACTCTGAGTGCTGGGTTACTACAATAACATGTTATGGAAATAATCCATTAATTGCTACATGTATTACAGTATAGTTAATGAGTCAGTAACCTGTGTCACAATTCTTTGCATGCTGTTTGTACTTGCATGCTAATTAAAGTGTACATTTTATGTATTTATATAGCAGAGGGGAACAGCAGGAAAATATCATTCCTGCCGCTTCTAAATGTACCTTCACACTATACATGACTATACATAACACTATACATAACACTCAGCACTACTGCAAGATCAGGTTTTGATGAGATACACATTCAGGAATAAAGTTGAGTATTTCCTACAAATGCCAGAGCTCCTTTGAAAGTCATAGGAAAAGCTGGTTTCAAACAAGAGAGTGGTTTTAAATCTGCATAAAGCTGATCTGGAAAGAAAAAGAGGTTGGCATTTATTGTCTCTGCTGTTCTCTTTACACAGGCTGTGCTTTCCCTGGATGGATGAGTGCAATTCCCCTAAGGCTTTCTCTGTGACCTTAGCATCAGAAGTGAAATGAAGCTGCACTAATTTGCACTGAAACTTTGCTATATGTAGCTTGTCTTATTTTCCTGAAATCAAGCTTATCAGGCAAGGCAGTACATGTATTTCATACCGCTTTTTATTTCTGAAGTATATATTAGTGTGTGATTAAATGTTTCTCATATAAAGCTGTCTTACCTGGGCTTTTCTCCTGGGTGGAGATGGGAGAGGAGAGAAAAGGAAACACAACAGATACTGCTCACAGTATTTTTGTGCTGCCAGATGATGCTCAGTGCTTCAGTGTCAAGTACAGTACTGGGCAGATTTATATATATACATATATATATATATATGTATATATATATAAACACACATATATATTTATAACATGCAGGTGTTGGAATGGGTATGTGTTAGTTTGGTAAACTATGGGAAAACTTCTGCTGAGGATGGATTCAAGATATTTTGGAAAGCAAACATTTCTCACTTGCTTCAATGTTTGTATCCTAAGGCCTGTGTTAAAGAGAAAGAAGCAACATTGATGAATTTATCTTATTTCCATGTGATATAAAGTAGATGCTTCAAAGCTAAGTAGGTCATTAAAACATGCTCTGTCAGATGTTCCTAATGTCTTCATAACCCACAGTAAATTGGATCAGAGCTATTGTGTGTGCAAGTCTGTTCAGGTGTAGAGAAATCTTCTGACCTAAAGCCTTAGAGCATATTTCTTAGTCTTTCTTAGTCTTTATTTCTATTCACTCCACTTTTCAACTTGCCCACATGGATCAATTCTTGTGTTTGTGTGATTCCCTTCCTTCCCCTGAGTCATGAGTCTGTGCTTTGAGGAACCCCTGTACATAACCTACTGAAAGTTGTCTGGAAGAACTGGTAAGAGAGTCAGGCTTAGGGTAATGTAGTTGTTTAAAACGTAGCTGTACCGTGCCAGTCGTGGGTGGGGAGATGAAAACCCATGATTCATGGTCCTGGTGCTCATGAGACAAAACAGCCTCATTTATTATTCAGAACTTGCTTAAATACCCAGTTCAAATCTCCCGGGCTAGACAGCCACTGGCTGAGATCTTCCTCCCTGCCCAGCTTCCTGGCCAGTGTGCTTTCTTCTCAGCTTGGATGGGGCTGGCCAAGGGTCCTCTGTAATTTATCCAGGGACATGTTCAGCCATGAACTAGCTGAATTGGATCTGTGTTATGGTCAGATTCACTTTGTCCAGTCCAGGCCAGCTGTACTGTGACAATACCATGACATTTAGCTATTAATTTTCATTGTATGAATGAGACCTATTGTGTTCCTCTGTTCTGGAAAGCTGTTTCCATGTGAATTAGTCCTGCCTAGCTCTCACTTCATCCTTCCTTTTAAAGTTTTGTTTCATCTCTGTGTGCATATCAAAGAGAACTGCTAAAATCTAGACCCAAGGTGTCATTTCCATCTCTGAAGAGACAGTGTGTGCTGTCTCAGACTCCCATGACCAGCTGGGTTCAGAAATAAGACCAGCAGAGAGTACAGAGAGCTGTGTGCTGTGTCAGGACAAGGTCTGGCTGCAGGTTTAGGGTAGGGAGGAAGGATAGCTCACGAAATCACTCTCATAGGCATCTCTGTTTTTACAGTTTACATGCTTTCTTGGCATTAGCTTTGCCTTAGTTTCATGTTCCTGAGGCTTCTTATATAGAAACAGAGCAGTATTCTGACACAGGTCAGCTCTTTTCATCTGCCCAAACACCTGTGCCATGAGAATTGTTTGCCTTTTGCACAGGCAGTTCTTCCCTTCTGAATTCCTTTAATATACACAAGGTAAAGCACTGACATATATTTAGATATAGGTATAAATATATCAGTTCTTGGTACTTGCCCAGGAGTAGCAGAGGTGCCCCTGTTAGCAATAGCATGGTGCTGCTGCTGTTAGACAGTTGAAATTCCTGGAAGGTTTTATTTTTAATTCTTTCTAATTATAAAAACCTAGTCATCATCACAGGATGTTTAATGACATTACTGGGAAGAACTGTCTGATAGAAGCTGCAAGACCAAAGCATTTGAATATCACAAGGCAGGGGCTAGGCTTTATGGAATGAGAAAGAGGGATGGGATGTTTGTTTGGAGCTGGCTTCAAATTACACTCAAGTGGGCTTAAGCCTAGTCCTAATTCTTAACTGCTCTCCTTGAAGCTCACAGGGCATCACTCGAATTCTGCCCTAATTTCCGTAAGTGAAAATACATCTGTACCAAGATTCCTTACTCTGCAGTATTTAAAAATGTGTATAAAACCCTGTGAAAAATGCCCAGGCAAAAGCTACCACTTCTCATTTAGCACCTCAAGCTCTTAAACTAATGCTGCAAGGCATTGTTTTCCAGCTACAAGGTTTCATAAGCTGCTAAAAACACATGTGCCAGGCTTTACGTACACACATCTGTACACAGCAACTGATCCCAAAACAACCTTGACCATTTGAAATAGGCACCTTGTGCCTTTGCTGTGAGAACTACAGCACAGTGGCAAGTGACCCAAAGTGCCTCTTCTCAAAGAAGAACATGGAGGAAATGAAGGCAGCAGTAGGGAATTACAACAGAAAAAAAACTGCACAGGCTGCATCTGGCCTGCCAGCTCCTGACCCTTTCTGCACTTGTAGTAACAACCTTAGCTAGGTTTGCAGCAATGATTTTTCACACAGTGAACTACATTCTTACATCCTTAGTTTACCCATGAGGCCGGGTAGTTTGTTTGGTGCACCAGTCCTCTGCTGATAGATGAGTTATTCCTTTGGCAGACAGTCACTCCAGCCCTTCCTGGGGCGTAGGCATATAATTGGTGCTGCACCCCCAAAATGGGAAGCATTACTCTGACTAAGATACTGAGACAGTCAGAAGTGTCACTGATGTTTCCTTTTCAGCAGGGCTGTGGATGTGCTGATCAAAAACAGAATTAATTTCGTCAAGTTCTTCTAGTTCCGGTGGAGAGTTACTTAATAGTACAAAAATGTAGAGCAAGCAAGAACAGAAAGGGCCAGGCAGGCGAGCACTTGAGCCACAGATTAATGCCCCAACTTCGGTGCTTGTGAGAAGCGCTGCACCTGAATAAAGTGACAGATTCTCAGCCTGTTTCAGCTGACAGCTGTTTTCAAAACAAACTTCCTAAGAAACACGGATACTTCAGGTTGAACCGGTGCGGGTGGGAAATAAACGGTGGTGTTACATGTAGTTGTTTAAAAACTCTGCAAATGTTTCAGTAGGGTGCACAGAAACTTAGAAACATTCTTGCAGTCCAGGAAGCAAAGTGTATTCTGGGCTGCATCACAGGGAGAGTAGGCAGTAGGTTGAGGGAGGTGGCTGTCCCCCTCTACTCCAGACTCCATCTCTGGTACTACATCCAGCCTTGGGCCCCCTGAAACAAGAAGAATGTGGACCTGTTAGGAGGCCACAAAGGTGATCAGAAGGCTGGATCAACTCTCCTTTGAAGAGAGGCTGAGAGAGCTGGGCTTGTTCAGCCTGGAGAGGAGAAGGCTCCAGGGTGACCTTAGAGCACCTTCCAGCACCTGAAGGGATGACAAGACAGCTGGAGAAGGACTTTTTACAGGGGCATGGAGTGGTAGGACAAGAGAGGAATGGCCCTAAGCTGAAGGAGGGTTGGTTTAGACTGGGTGTTAGGAAGAAATTCTTTACTGTGAGGGTGGTGAGGCACTGGCACAGGTTGCCCAGGGAAGCTACGGACTCCTCATTCCTGGAAGTGTTCAAGGCCAGGCTGGATGGGGCTTTGAGCAACCTGGTCAAGTGGGAGGCGTCCCTGCCTATGGTGTAGGGTTTGGAACAACCAACAGCCCAACAACCCCATTCCATGGACTAAGCCATACCTGCTCCATGGCAGCAGCTGGCTCTTCCCAGACAGGCCTCCCCATCAAGGCCAGCTGCTGCCAAAGGAGTTTCAGTAGAAACCGGACTCTGCAGGGAGCACCTGGGGGGTGGACCCAGAGCCTGCCTGAATTTTTTTTGTAACAGTAATTCCAAGTTTCATGCCTCTGCAGTTAGGACATACACTTGTTCCAACAGTATGGACTGTTGCAGCAGTCAGGTTTCAGCCTGACAAGGCTGTGTGCCCGCTGGGACTCAGTTTCCCGCAGTGGAGGCCACAGACGGGGCGCCAGGCTGACATCCCAGCCCTGGAGGAGCAGCGTTCAGTCCGTAGCTATTTTTCCAGCCCACTTGTTGTTCACGGAAATGCCCAGGGCCGCTCGGGCAGGGCGGGATTCTGCAGGAGGCGGCTGCAAGGCTGCGAAGGTGTGAGCAGGAAAGGAACCAGCTGGAAACACAGGCTCATTTTGCAATGGTTGAGGCGTTTGGGTAATGCCGGGTTTCGGATGCCTTGCCGCTGGTTTGAGGCTCGAAGATGCTGTTGAAGCCCTTCCAGAGGGTGGGGAAGGTCCTGCTCATGTCCGCGCGGTTCTTCCCGGCGGGAGCGGAGCGCTGCAGCCCCGGGCCCGCCCTCGGCGGGGGTGGTGCCGGCGGCGGCGGAGCGGCGGCCCGGGAGCGGAGGATGCTGCTGCCGCTGCTGCTGCCTCTCCTCCTGCTGCTGCCGGCTCTGGCCGACGGGCAGCGGGCGGCGGTGCTGCGGCTGGGGCTCCGGGGCAGCCCCCGCAGAGAGGTGAGCCCGGCTTTCCTCTCCCTCACCCTGGATGCCAGCCTCGCCCGGAACCCGCGCTATGTCGCCTTGCTCAGGTGAGCCGCCTCTCGCACTGGGCAAAGGATAAAGGGTCTTGTGGGAGGCGGGCCATCCCGGCAAACGCGCTGCGGAGCGAGCTGGGGGGAACGGGGAGTCCCCCAGCCCTGGAATTGGGGTCGGGGAGAGGCTGCTGGATCCCCACTGCTTCGGGATTCACTAATTCCGTCTTCCCAGGGCAGAAGGCGGTACCTTCCACAGGTGCGAGCCGCCCCGGCCCGTTCGTGCTCGGGGAAGGAGCGGCTGGCCTGGGTGGATGCAGGGAAAAGTCAGCTAGGGGAGAGGGAGCCTGGGAGAGGAGCTGCTTTGACAGCACA